GGCCCCGCAGCCCGGGGAGGCTGGGCGCTGGTAGCAGGCTGAGGGGGAAGGTGTAGAGGACCAAAGCGTGAGGCTGAGAAGCTTTTCCCTTCGGAAGAAAAAGTAGGTGCCACGTGAAAACGGAAGGAGAGAGCAGCTGAGATGGGTAAACTCGATGCAGGGCTATGCCAGAGAATTTAGGCAGGGTGCTGCAACGAGCCAGCTCTTGGGAAATGAGGAAGATACAGGGATTTACTGCCCTATTCTTGGACGTAACTGTCCCCAGGATGTGTTTCTTTGGTATATCCCGACTATTGTTGGGGATGCCAGTGGACATGTCATTTAATTTGCTGTCATAAAAGTGTATTTGAAATCAAGGAGATTTCAGCCTTACTTTAAGTGAAGTTTTTGAGCACAGACTGTCAGGGTTGAAAGATTTCTGTCCTTAAAATAATGGAAAACATTGTAATGGTTATTGTGTGGAGAACAAGTTTTTGTTTCTAATTAGAGACCTGTCAGGTGAATAGTTAACTAAGTTTTAATATGAGTTTAGATCCACAGTTCAAATCAGTTTATTGAGTGTTTGCAGACAATGGCATATTGCCCAACATAATCCTGAATTGATAGATTCGGGGGTTTAGCTGAAAAATCATTAGAGGGAAAAGTATTGTTTTAACTGGAGGAGTACAATCCATAAATCCATTATGCCATGTAATATGCTGATGCATCTTGTTTACTTGAAATCACGTTATTCTGGTATCAGCCTAATATGTATTAATTCTTTTTTTTTTTTTTAATTTGTGATATCCAGAATTTCCTTCTCTTGTTGGTTTTTGTCTTTTCTCCTAATTGAAGTTGGATTGTGGCCCCTTGCTCTGGTGATAAGGCAGCTCCATTGCAACTGCTACTTCTTTCTGTTTTGCTTTAATTGTTTTCTTTCTTGGAAGTTGATTTTTTTTTTTAGGTATGGTGTTGGTGATATTTTTACACTCTTTAAGAAAAAAACAACACACTTGTAGGGTTTTAGCAGGTAATATGATTTAATATCTTAAGCTTTTGTGTGTGTATCTGATGTTTGGTTCTAAGTGTATAAAAAAACACCTTTAGATTTGAGAGGGTTTATAAAGTTAGACACAGAATGAGGGGTCATCCTGGCGGCCAGTCCAAATGTCAGATTGGGAATTAAAGTTGTTTAGCGATGTGTCTCTGAAAGTCCAGCAGTGGTCCTCTAGCAATTGAAGTTTTAGAACTTTTTTGCTTGGCCAGGAGGTCACAGCATCACCGCGGGTTGCAGGGACCCATCGAGGTGAGAGGGAAGCGCCGCTGCAGATGCCTGCAGAGTTTGTTGTCCTTCAAATGTGAACAAAAAACAATTGAAAATTAAGGGGGTTAGATCAATTTAAAAAACCCCAAAACACACCGTGGAGGCTGCGGCTGGAGCTGGTCAGAAGGTGCTGGCGGTGGGGACCGGGCCGTGTCCCGGCGCGGCCGGTGGCGGAGGCCGGCGGTGACAGGCGGTCGGCCCGCGGGGCGGAGGG